CGCCCCCCTCTTCGCGCTGAGCAGTGGGCCCTGCCACTGCCACTTTCGTCCCCAGGCGCCAACCTGGCACACGCAGCAAACTTACAGCAGGGACCAGCTTAGATTTTTTCCTTTATTCTTCTTATTTTTTTTCTCCAAGTCACTGAGCCTCTCTGTGTTGGCGAAGGAAAGGACAATTTAAATAAATTATCTAATTATTTCTGATTACTCCCGTGGGAGCCGGGACGCCAGCGCCTTATCCTAAGCTGATGCCTGTTTTTTTTCTTCTTTGTCACTGTCTAGCCCAGACCTTTGACGCGTTTGCGCAGAGAAACAGTGGAGCAAAAAGCAAAGCTACATTTTCTTTTTTCCCCAAAGCATATGGACACAAAAACTGGAGATTCTCAAACCCTCCTTATGCTCTGACAGTTTTCTCAAATACTAGCTGAATTTTTTACTGGCATGCAGGGACCAAGGCTGTGACTTTTCCCCAAATCTGCATAAATGTATGAATTGTCCTAATTTGCCTGCAAGTTCAGGAGAGCAGCTTTTTTGAGAAAAGAGAAGGAGGATCTGAGAAAAGGAGGATTTTTTTTGCCTTGCCCTGTATCTGCCATAATTAGTGGAGTTTTATTTTTTGTTTGATTTTGAATTTTTTTAGCCTGCTTTTGCTGGGCAAGAGGAGTTGGGGCTGAGCATCCCGCAGGCACCGGCAGCCAAGCGGGATGGATGGAGCCAGGGGGAGGTTTGGGACACCCGGATGGGGACAGGCTTCCAAACCCTGACGTCCACCCGCACGGTGGCTCTTCCTGCAGGATGGTGGTTTTTCCCACCCCTCCGAGGCCCCGGAGCGTTTGGGACCCCTCGGAGGAGCTGGGTGCTGTGGTTAGAGCAGTGCATGTGCCGGAGGAGCCTCCAGCATGGGACGTAGCGCGGGTTGGTGCCGGCAGCGAGGTGCTGCTGTTGTTTTGAAGGGCGTGAGGTCCCTTGGTGAACAGGTTCTCCCTGTCTTTCAGGACTACCTTATTTTACCTCTCAGCCTTTTTGTTTCTGGGCTCTTAAAATAAGAAAAGAGCTCTTGGCTGCTTTAAGAAAAACTCTTGGCTTAAAGTTTCCTGGAAGGGCTTGTGCTTTGGAGGTCTCCCTGGTGCGGATTTGGTTGCGTTTCTCGATTGGGTTTGTAGAGCAGAACCTTCTCGGGCACCCTGGGCATTATGGTCACTCTTGTCACTCCTGCTGCTCTTCATGGGACCCTTATTCCTCCTGAAAAGCTCGCGGTTGGAGCCGTCTCGCAGTGAAACGCAAGTTGCGGGCAGCAGCTGCCGACACCTGCGGGAATTGGGGAAACCAGGGCTGGGAGCGATGCTCTTCCAGGGCTGGATCCCGGGAGCGCCGTGGCAGGGCCAGGCTCTCCAAGCCCTGTGATGCCCATTGCAGTGAGCAGGGACCCTCGCGGGTGCCCCCCGGTCCCTGCTGCCGGCCGCGGCCCTGCCTGGCCGCGCTTGTTTACAGAGCGGATTCTGAGCGTGTTCGCAGCGCGCTGCTATTTTGGGTTGGTTTGTTCTGCGCTGCCAGGCCGGGCTCTGCGGAGCCGCCCGGGGAGGTGGCACCGGGTGCCGCGGGGCTCGTGACCCTCCTGCTTGGGGCGCTTTGGAGCCGGGCTCAAACCCTGTGCAAAAGAGGGAATAGTCTGGGGCCTCCAGGGATGTGATGAGAGCAGAAAGTGCAGGATACGGGGTGTTTTTTCCCTGAGATTTTCAGGGGAGATGGAGTAAAGCTCTGTGTGCCCCACAAGGCTCCTCTCCTCTCGAGATGGAGGTGGCAAAGCCAAGGGCTCGTCGCTCATGTTGCCACCTCGAACCTCCTACAGAAATGCCTTTGGAGCCCGGCTTCCTCCCAGGCTGCAGAGAGAGCCTCTTCCTCCTCCTCCTCCTCGTGCTGGGCCCAACGTTCCCAACCGGCCCCGGGATGCTGGTGCGCGAGGAGGCGTCCGGCCCCGGAGCCGCCTGCGCCGCGTCCTGCGGCGTCCGGCTTAATGCACCCAACAGATAAGGAAAGACGGAGGCGCAGGGAGCGGGGCAGCTCCTGGGCCACGCGTGGAAATAAATAAGAAGCTTCTGGGCAAGAGCAAAGCAAAGCAAGGCCCCCTTCCCACCACCAAAACCCCGAATAGCCGCAGACGCGGTGCCTGCGAGCGCGGTGCTTAAGCAAATGGATTTGCTTTTAGTGCATTCAGCCACCGCCTGCGAGAAGCTGTTCCCCAAGGGGTAAACACTTATCTATCCATCCATTTATGTATTTATTTCCCCCCTTTCCAAGGGTTTGGAGAGGAGTTTCGCGGGGTGGCAGGGGCAGCCCGGTCCCGCAGGAGCCGGGGTGGGGGGGGTCGGTGCCGCGCCGACTTCCCGACCCGCTCGGAATAGTTGGGATGCTTGGACACCGGGCTGGCAGGGGCGGCCGCTGCACGGCGTCATTCAGATGCAAAAAGCGGGCGATAAATTTAAAAGCTGTCGCAGTTGCCGTGGCTCCCCGAAGCGCTCGGGCCGCGCACAGTACAGTATTTCTGCCATCTTTGTTTGCATTGCAGTGACTCATCAAAAGTCTGTCTTGTACCAACACTGGGAGCATTCCTCTGGCACTGATATTCCTCTGTTTTTAAAGCTTCGCTCCGAAACTGGCATTTACTTCAGGTCCCTAATCAAAGGGCTCTATTCATTGCCGCGAGCAGCCTGAATGTTAATCTGCATCCGGCCTATTCATTTAGATGCTATGCACCGCCGGGGAGATTTGACTTGGTAAAAGCTTGAGCTACAGCAGATACAAACGCGGGGCTTGATACTATTTTTTTTTCCTTTTTTCTTTTTTTTTCTTCTGCTCCTTTGCTCCTCGCGCTGCCTTTTCCCTTTTTCTCTCTTTTTTTCACCCTTTTCCCTCCCCTCCTCCAGCGGGCAGCGCTCGCTTTGCTTCCTCCTAGCCCATGGCCTTGCAGATAGGGCATTTTTTTTCCTCTCCTTTCCCCCCCTGCCCTGGGAACAGAGCAGCTCTTTGTGGCTTATTTTCTTTTCAGAGGAGCTTTTTTTCTTCCCCTAATCATCCTCAGATAAACTTCTTTGCTATTCCGTTCCGATGCGCCCTCGGTGCTACTTTAGGAACTAGTTTTTATTCAGTCGTGCTGCAGGCAAGCGAGGCTGGAAACCTCCCGGATTTGCGGTGTGGGGCGGCGGGGGGGGTGGGTTGGGTTGCGCCTGCCGTTTCGGGGAAGCGCCGGGATTCGCTTCGCCGGAGTTGCGGTGTGCCCGGAGCGCGCTCAGCCCGCGCAGGATTGGTGCTATCGCTCTGCTCCAGAGCCCTCTTTTTAATGAATTTACCTTAATTCTTTGATTTTCTGGTGGTCGGGAGGCGCGTGGGAGCGGGAGCGGCGCTCGGGGCGGGAAGGTGCATGTGCCCTTAATGCGTCCGGGCGCCGTAACCCGATGCGAGGGCAAGGGGGGCGATGCTGCGGCGCGGGGCTGCTGTCCCCCGACCCCAATGTGGCCTCGCTTTGCGCGGTGGGGAGTCACTTGGCACCTCAGGACAACTCGTCCTGCAGCCCAGGGGCGTCTGGCTCAATTCGGAGCGGTGGAGAAGGGGTTTAACTCTTGCAGTTTTGCCTCCTTGTGCCCCCGCGCAGGCTCCTTGCAAAAAAAAAAAAAAAAAAAGCCTTTTTGCAGGAGCTCAGGCACAATTCTGTGTTTATTTCGGGCAGAGCGGCACGTTGCTTTATACAGATGCCTCTTCTGCAGTCGCGCCGGGGCTGCGCCGTCCCTTATATAACGCTGCGCGGCTGCCGCACGCGTGCCTTGCCGTCCCCCGCGCCGCTCGGATTTTTCTGCTTAAAGTAAACCCGGGGGGAATAAATCAGTGGTGTTTATTTAAACAAACCACAACTTTAAGAAAATATTTGAATTTTGAAATACCCTTTGCCCTCCACCGATGGCGTTTTTCCTTCCCCCCCGTTGTTTAGAAACATCGATAAGTAATTTCATAAGCAACTGCTGTCCTGCGTCGGCC